CTACTGAGTATATGCACTAAGTTCATTAGCTTTATCTAGTACTTGAAATTAAACAATTACATTATCACCTTTATCACTGCTATTTTTAGCTGCCTCTTAAACAGATGTGAAATGGGCTAAATGAGACAACTGTTAGTGTATTCATTAACATTTCCACAGATGTTAATAAGAGAAGCTATAATCCTTCCTATATAATAAAATCTTAATTTGCAAATTGTCCCCTTGACCAGGAGTTCAACTGCTTGCCATGATGTGCGCTGACCACCAGGGGCAGTTCAGAACAAGGTGGGCTTAGGCAACCTGGCCCTGGCAGTAGGCAGCAGTGGAGGCACTGCCGGCCTCAATGGGCCCTGTCGAGAGTGGGATGGTGGAGCAGGTAAGTGGGCAACGCCAGGCCAAGATAGGTGTGAGTGGGGGCCCTGACTGCCCCGCAGACTGAGACCAGTGGCAGTGGCAGGGGTGGGGCCACCACCCAGCTCCAATGCACTGAGGGGGCTGATTCAGAAAATTGGGGGGGGGGGGGGGGGGGCGGGAACCAATCTCCTGCGGCACGGGGGGGAGTGTGGGGGGAAAGGGAGAATTGGGGGGGGGGGGGCTGCAACCTCTTGCTGGCTACCTGGAAGCAGGGGAGATGAGGATGGAGGTGTGGTGAAAATGTGGGGTGTCCACAGAGCTCACTCCCTCTCCATGCTCCCTTCCCCAGAATGCCAGGGCTCATGAGCCAGAGAAGCCCCTGGCGCTCAGGTGCCAGACACCCACGAGAAGCCCACCTGCACCTGTGTGGCCTCTTCTGGGTGAGCTAGGCCACAGCTGCTGAGACTGCAGGGACCAGTCAGGCTCCCTAAGGGTTCAGGCAAGAGCAGATCTGTGAGGCCAGCCAGGAGAGAGCATGCTGCTCGCCCGGCTTCTATGGCGCCACTGAGCGGCCTGACGCCCACGCTGCACTCTGGTACCGTGACTCAGGCAGAGGGGAGTGCGTGGGGGTCCAGGGGCCCAGGTACTGCCCAGGGCCCAGAGGTCAGCTGGAACATGCCCTTCCACACCAGACACTTGCGCTTCAATAGCCAGCCAGGCCTACTGACTGCACCCGCTCATGAATTCTGTGCACCGAGCTTCTAGTTGCAATTTAAAGCTGCTAGGAAGAAAGTGTCCTAAGCTACTTAGGTAAAGGCTTTATCAGATTTAATCATTCTTGCTAAAGGGAAGAAATACTCACTTTATAATAACAATGGTCAAAAGGATTTACACATCTATGACAACTTTACTGAAGATTATCATTTAATGCCTTTTCTTATGTTGTCATTTAAAAAATGCATTCTTCTCAAAGATCAATCAGCCCAAGATACAAAGAAGAGTAATAAGAGCAAGCTTCCTTTGAGTCCCACATTCTGCATTCTTCCACAATGAGCAATGTAGGCCAGAGCAGCTTTAAAGGAGTCAATTAGATCCCACTGCACTCATGAGCCCGAGTGCAGTGGTATCTGCAGCTAAAGCAGTCAATCAGTATCACACTCATTCTCATGCCAGTGAAATTATTCACATTCTTGACATCTGTCTTTGACTGCTGCAGTCTTTATTCCAGTGTTCCTTGGAACTGTGGGGAGAGTTTAAAAATCTGCAGTCTATTATGCTAAGCGAAATAAGCCAGTCAGAGAAAGACAAGTATCACATGACCTCACTTACATGTGGAATCAAATGAACAAAATAAACTGCCAAACAAAATAGATCCAGAGACATGGAAGCATGGAACAAACTGATACCAGATTTAAGGGTATACCGAAAACTTCCTGAGATTGGGAATGAGAAAAGGATACATGCCCACTGTCACCACTTCTATTCAACATGTATGTGCCGGAGATTTAGCCAACTCAATATGAAGGGAGGGGAAAAACGGTAAATTACACGAACAGACTGAGCTCTGGTTAGAGATAAAGGGCAGGGAGCAGAAAATTAAACTAAAGTTCGATTTAAAATTGTAAAGCACTATACTTTAACTTTGCTTCTTAAGCTATGATCTTCTCTACAGACTTGTAGGCTAGGTAAAGCAGGTATTATTAACTTCAACTTGGCTAAGACTCAGAGAAGTAAAATGATTACTCTTTAAGGTCCCTCTTTAAGAAGCAAAAGGCAAAATGAAGACTGACTCACGGTGTGGGAGTTTAAGTCTGTTTTGTGCCCCCCCCCTCCCCCCAATATGTCTTCTCACAGGAAGGGAGCTAGAAAGGTGCAAAGGAACATTTTGTGCAGAACTTGTTATCAAGACTCCCAAACTTAGATAAAGTTGCCATTATCTCGAACTCATTATCTAGAATGTGTTTTTCTTCCATATCTAAGAATCTGGGAACATGGTAGGTTGAAATGGCAGACAGGCACTCCTTGACTTTACATGCATAGAAATGTCATAAACTATTAAAAAATAAATGAACAGGACAAGTTCAAAAGACAGGAAAATCCCCAGATACTGGAAATTAAGAAAGAACTTAAAATCAAAGTGAGAAGTGGGAACTGACCTAGATTCAGAATAGCTTCAGGGTCTGGTCCCTGGAGTTTTTGCGCCCATCCAGAAATAGAGATTTGTTTTCCAGTTTTTAAGGTAAGAGTACATGTGGGTGAGTGACAAAGACCAGATTATAGTTCTCTTCATGAAATCTGGAGCCTTGATGAGCTACCCTGTCAGTGAAAGAGAGTAGAAAAAATTCTATTCACTGGCTCAGAAAAAGATGAAAAATAAAAAAACTTTCTTTCACCGACCTCACTTAGAGGTAATAGAGAATAAAGAAAAAGGCCCAAGAAATGGAAACGACAGGCCTATGCTTTAATTGAATATTAGGGGAATTTACATGATCTAAATGGCATGGAAACTCCTAACTGAGAAGTTACAAGGACCATTAAAATCCCTAGGACAGCCAAAACCGGTTTGGCTCAGTGGATAGAACGTCGGCCTGCAGACTCAAGGGTCCCGGGTTCAATTCCGGTCAAGGGCATGTACCTTGAAGGTTATAGGCATATCCCCAGTAGGGGGTGTGCAAGAGGCAGCTGATCCATGACTCTCTCTCATCGATGTTTCTAACTCTCTATCTCTCTCCCTTCCTCTCTGTAAAAAATCAATAAAATATATTTAAAAAAATAATTAAAAAAAAAAATAAAATCCCTAGGACAGTGATCGGCAAACTGCAACTCGCTAGCCACATGCGGCTCTTTGGCCCCTTGAGTGTTCTAACTCCACTTCTTCAAAATAGACTCGCCCAGGCTGAAAACTGACTTCTGCACATGGGCCACAAAATTTCAATCGCACTGTATATGCGTGCCCACACGTGGTATTTTGTGGAAGAGCCACACTCAAGGGGCCAAAGAGCCGACCACTGCCCCAGGGCTCTGACAGCAAGAGAAATGAAAAGGCACTGACTGGACTTTCACAACACAACATATAGGACTTCCACTGGAACAGGAAAAATATCTTGCTCAAGATGTGATCATCTTCAAACAATCATACACCATACAAAAAGATGCATTTTCATGAATTAGAGTCAATATATGTATAGCAAGAAGGATATCTACCAACCACCCAGAAAAAACTAGAATATTAAAAAAAAAAAAAACCTATAAAATAGTATGTTTAAAACTATCAAAATAAATATATAAAACCATAACTAAAGATTAGGATATTCTGGAAAATGTTGACATTTGCAAAAGAACCAAAAAAGAATATCTAAAAACTATAGTCACTAAAGTAAAATAAAAAACTGAGTGGATATATTAAAAGCATATTAGTCATAGTTGAAGTGATTTTTAGGTAACTGGAATACATCATTCAGAATGAACTGAGGAGAAATAAAGAATAGAAAACATGAAAGTACATAGAAAAATACAGAGGAGAAAAATCTAATAGAAGTTCAAAAGGAGAAGATTGAGGGAATGAAGGAAGACAGACAATAGCTAAAACTTTTGAAAAATGAAGACACCCTTGAAAAGCACAACTTCTGAATAGAATGACTAATACCTATTCCATATCTAGACATAGGTTAGCAAAACTACATAATATCAAAGATTTCTTTTTAAAAAAATATATATTTTATTGATTTTTCACAGAGAGGAATTGAGAGGGATAGTTAGAAACATCGATGAGAGAGAATCATCGACCAGCTGCCTCTTGCACACCCCCCATTGGAGATGTGCCTGAAACCAAGGCACATGCCCTTGACCGGAATTGAACCCAGGACCCTTCAGTCCGCAGGCCGACGCTCTATCCACTGAGCCAAACTGGTCCCGGAATATCAAAGATTTCTGATGAAAGATTTCTAATCAGCAGCAAAATAAGTCATAGAACCTATTTAGTCAAAGAACTAAAGGAAAATAACTGTCAACTTAGCTAACTATCATCCCTTCCCAACTTATTTCTTAATTCAATGGAGAGAGGTACGCCAGCAGAAGAGATACTTGGATTGGAGTAGCTGGAATTAGCAAACATCAACAATATCTGGGAAAATACTTATTCTATGGAAACTGCACCTGTGTCTCTTAAATGTGAGGTGGAACAGATGACCTAGACATAAGGCTCCAAAAACTTTTGCCTTTGAACTATTAATATTTCTAGCCAAAAGTTGGATTTTTCAGTGGCAAAGGCTTTAGAATTATTTATGGAGCATGAAATGTGAACTCTACATATATAGCATAGAAATTAAAAGTGAAGTCTCTATAAAATCAGGCTAATGGGGATTAAATCTTGACTGCTTGTTAAGCACTGTGTGAATTTGGTCATGTCACTTTATTACTCTACACCTTAGTTTCTACAGCTATTATCTCACAGTTCAAAAAAGATTAAATAAGGAAAGTCATGCAAAGCATAGTATCTAGCACAGAGTATGTGCTTAAGAAAGCCCAGTTATTATCATTATTAGTTTTGACCGCAGAACTGTAATCTGATTACATAGTATGAATCAATAAATTTTAGTATGACTACTAAAAAAAAAAAAAAAACCCTAAAAATATAGGAAACATACTCTGACATCTACCGAGCAGCCCACAGTCCATGATGGATTTCCCAGCACTTGATTTTGGCACAGAAGATGAACTAATGAAGATTTACCAACACCTGTAAAAGATACAAGAATTCTAGTTATATAAGAGACATGCTGAAATGTGATAGCAAAAGTGTGATTGAGAATATGCAGTAATCATGGTATGTAAATTATGGTTGTTTAAAGGGTGTCCATACCATACCAAGCATTTAATAAGCTTTATTAATAAGTAAATGGTCAAGGAGAGCTTGTTAAAACATGGAATGCTGGGTCCTGCTCCCAGTTTCCTCTTCAGCAGGTCTGTTGTGGAGCTCAAAGATTTTGCATTTCTAACAAACTCCTTGGTGATTGATGCTGATGCTACGGTCCAGGGGCCTTGCTTTGAGAACTACTGTTCTAGGGCAATTTCATATGAACTAGTCCTTTCCTTTTGAATGATTTCATCTATTCAACCTTTTTTAGAATTGTAGAATATGAACAGATCTTGGAGGCAATGCTCTATTCTGATTACCAATGGAGAGGTACTTCCATGGCGCTGATAGCGGATCCTTCAGATGGTGTTTGAACATGGTGACAGGGACTCACCGTTTCACAATTCCTTTAGACACTCTAGTTCAGATAGCCAGCCATGTGGCCCAGTTTTACCCTTTGGAAAAAAGAGAACCACTCTACTCCCTCTTCTACATCATGGCCCTTTACCTTAAGGCGGCACTTTGTTTCCTATAGCTCTCCTGGGTTCAGGGCAATCTATATGAGGGGGGAAGAAAATGAGTTCCCATTTACACGATGGAGTCACTCATATAACTAACAGCATTTTGATGCCACCATGACAAGCATGGTTGATGAATCTTCATGCATCATTTGTGGTATAGAAAATTTAGACCATCTCTTTGTGTGCAATTTTGTGTATGAACCTACCATTTATGATTATTTTTTATTATATGAAGTTATATTTACAGACAACCGGAAAGCATTTTTAAAAAAGAAGAAAAAGTCACCTAGAAGAGCACTATTGTAAACATGTATGTTTACTTCCATAAGCAGGATTTCCTAGAAGCAGATTCTTACTGTAAATATACAGATGGTATACTTGAAAACAATAAATCTAAGCCTCTGTTTACACATCTGGTTTTGTCTGGAACATACTATAATACCTATTCTCCCCCACACCTGCCCTCCATTGGCCTGGTGAATTATTAATCTGTCAAGACTCCCCATCATTCTAGTTATTGTCATTTCTGATTCCACACAGGTAGAACTAAGCTCATTATCCCCTACCCTCTGGGTCTCCACTGTGCCCTTACACTTTTCCACAGAACACTTAAAACACATTACACTTGTTTATAGGTTTTATGTTCTGTTTAATTTTAATTTCTTTGAGGATTGGAACTGGGTTTTACTCTCTTTAAAAAAAAAACATCCAATACTCAGAACAGATCCTTAATTAGTATTTATTTAGTGACTAAAATTCTCCATGTTATTATAATTGTCCTAAACATATTTTATATCTCCTTTATAATTCAGAACACTGACATAACAATTTACTTAATCACTCCCTAATTATTAGATATTTAGGGTGTTTTAAAATTTTCATTATGCCAAAAAAAGATTTCTGTTTAAACTTTGGTTAAAATTATTTTGCCAGGCTGCGGTGGCTCAGTGGATTGAGCCATCATCCCATGGACCAAGAAGACACAAGTTCAATTCCAAGTCAGGGTATGCCTTTGCTGGTGGGGGGAAGAGGCCCAAGGTAATGAAATAAATACCAGCTGCAAATACTAGTTGCTGGTAAAGTATTAAGCTCATCCCTTGTATCTGAAATAACAAAGAGAATTATCAAATATACCTATGGGATACAAAACAAATCTCTGCATCCCAAGTCATTCCTTTATGTATTATGTGAAATCCTCCAAATTTCATGAAGGAAATAAGCCTTTATTCAAAAGGAAACTTTAAAGGTTGCATACAAAGGCAGATGAAGTGTGTATAAGAAGTATATTCTAACCTGATATCATATCACTGTTAAAAGGGAACTGATAAAAAGGCAATAACTGACTTTGTACACACAGCCTAAAGTCAGTGAATGTGTAACAAGATCAATCACTTTCCTGGTAGGCATGACTGTCTTCTGTTTTACAACTAAACTATAATGAACAAAGAAACAAAATAAAGCTTACTAATTGCCTGATCAGTTTTCACCATTTAATGCAGCAGCCAATTCAAATCTGCTACATAATTGATTCCAGTTATAAATCCAGCAGTGTCTGCTCTGTAGTATATACTTAAGTATTTTTTTTTTTTTGTGAGATATTTTTTTTTGGGGGGGGGAGGAGGGGAGAAATCTGCTAGTTGCAACAATATCTTACATGAAGGGATTGTTAGATATAATAGAAAAGGGAATTATAAAAGAGACACCCACTTCATGTATCATGAAATTGTGTTAGCTCTGTATTGCAGTTCTAAATCTTACTTGATACACTTGCCAAAACCCTTTAGACCACCATTACTTTATCTGTAAAATGTAGTGATTTTATTAAATTAATTTCTGCATCATTTCAAGCTAAAGAACTGGAGTTGACATAAATGTATGCTGTTCATAGGATTTCATAATGGAATTTTCTTAGGGAATTTTAAATAATGCTCTCTGTAAAATATTTTATAATGCAAATAATCTTCAGGCAAGGTGAAAAGGTTTCAGACCTCCTCCTTTCCCCAACAATATTCTTCAGTCCTGTAAGGGTAATCTTCCAGCTTTCTGAGGCATGCCCTCTCCACCTCCAAGCATCTGGCACGATGTCTTTGCTCACAACACACATTTCAAAGGCCAACTCCAGAAAAGCACAACCATGAAAATGAAAGCTCATAAGGAGCACGGGAGTGGAGGTATGGTGAGAGGGACAAGGATAGTGAGGTGGGAGGGGGAAATGCAGACTCCCAAAATGTCCAAGGTGTAAAAAGAAGAAATTTTAAAACTAGGAATAAACCGGGCTCAGCATTAAGTCCTAGTTAATTCATCAAAGGAGCTTATCTTAATTTCTCTCTTTCTTAGAACCTAGCACGTAATAGGTTTTCAATTAAGACCAAAGAGAACACACACAGACATCATCAAGCCCAGTTGAGAGTAGAACAGGATTAGCCTCCAATATTTCATTTCATAATATAGCTTAGTGTTTATGTACCGAGACTCTGGGTTCAAACCGGTTCTGTGGGTTACATTTTGCCGCCACACTCTTCTCATCTGTAAAATGGGACAACAGAGCTAACTTCCGGATTAAAGGAGTTAATAAATGCAAAGAACTTCGAACAGTGTCATTTTTTCCTTAGGGCATGTCGTTTGATTTCCTTAATAAAATCTCTTGAAGACAGGGTCCTCACTCCTGTTTCCTTAGCACCGCTCATGACATAAAACAAAGGAATCGACAAAGCGCGCGGGGAAACCGTCGCCCCGGAGACTGACGTGGAAAGCGGCGAAGGCGGAGGGAGGCCGGGACTCCGCGCCCCCGGCCCACACGCGAGGCCGCCACTCCGTCAACCAGAGCAAAGTCCTCTGGGAAGTGTAGTCTTCAGGCCTCGAGAGGGATTTCAGCCGGGGGCCCAAGCGACTGAGTTGGCTGGGGCGGGGAGGGAGTCGTCGTTATCGGATAATTCAAAAGTGTCGGTAGCCCAAGAGGTGGGTTTAAGCCGCTCACCTGAGTCTCCCAACACCAGTACCTTCACCCGATCCAGGGACGCCATCTTGCCACTGCCTTCCGGGGTCAACCCCCGGTTCCTGGTTTTTAAGCCAATCAGAGCTGGGCATGGGGGGGGGGCGGAACTTTCGGTGTCATTGGCCAATCCGCGCGTGGCTCTCCCCACGGACGGCTTCCCTACGCTGATTGGCCGGCTCCGTTAACCGTAGCGGGTGGCTCCCTCCCGGGCTGGTCGCAGGAATAAGGCGTTGTCTTTGTCGCACGAATGGCGAGGCTCGTGGGAGCCGGTAGTTGAGGCGCTGAGGGGACGCTGTAGTGCCAGTGTTCGAGGATCCGCCTGGGTAAACCTTGTTCCCTGTTCCTTGTTCTGGGCTGCCTGGCCCGGAGTCGTGGTTCAGGCTTTCTCCTTCTCGCTCCTTTCTTAGCGACTCTCCTCCTCTCTAAGCGACTCTCTGGACTGTGGTTGGTTCTCCAGAGAGCCATGGAGGCGGCCCGGGTGCGACCTCGGGCGGGACCCTGGGCTCCACCGAGGGTGGCCCTGCGCCCGGCTCGGCAGGGTCCGAGGGGATGGAGGGTCGCGCAGTGTGGGGAGGAGTGACCATGACAGAACCGGGCTCGTGGAGGGCAACTGGGTCCAGCCCGAGATTTCGCGGTGGTAATGCAGCTTGCTTTATGTAGGAAGACCATGAAATATGGTAACTGGAAGAAGAAAAAAAAGCCTGCAGTTGTATATATAAGATTCATATAAATGTATAAGATTCAAATGAATATAGAACTGGCATAGTAGTATACTGAAATAATCGACTGGATGAATAAATTGCATCCTCCCTCTCCCGCATCCTCTTCTCTCACCCTGGGCGTAATCTTTTAAAATTGCAGATTTGATCCTGTTGCTTCCTGCTTTAAAGCCATTCGAAGTTTAAGAAGAGGGATTCCAATAGCCTGTCTTTTTTTCCTACTCTGGGAGCAGCAGTGGAGGGAGTAAAACTGCGGGGACGTTGGCCGGAGGGGCATGTGGGGAGAACACGTGCCCAGGGAAGCTGCTGAAAGTTTTATGGCAGCACGTGCCCAGCCGCGCTGGGTTTGGGAAAGGCAGTGGTGGTGGACATGATGTCCCTGTCCTCAGGTAGAGAGGAGAGTATAAGTCTTTTCACTGCAAGGAGGAAGGTTGGGAGAGAGCCTTGGGAACTTGGGAAATGGGCTGGATCATGCTAAGCTGTTAAGGAGGAATCTGGGAAGGTCTGTGAGGAAATGCCTTTGGAGATGTGAAAGGATGATTAGAAGGGAGTTGGGGCCGAGAGAACAGAATGTGCACGTGGGGAAGGCTTACGGGGCTGATGGAATTGAGAGCGTGCTGATGTGGCTGGAGATTAGAATGACAGGGATAATAGTGCAGAGAACTCATTCATTTAAATTTCGTTCCTCCAACGCTGTGCCTGGTGCAGTGTAGTTCTCCAAGTGTTTGTATGTCTATAATATGATTCAAAAATAAGATCTTTAGGAATCTGTGCTGGGTAGGGAGGTAGGTGAGACTGGGAGGGACTGAGACTCTGAAGCAAAAAAGAAGAGAAAAAAGGGATTGTCCTGAGAGGTTACAAGCTTAAAAATTTCCAGAGACCAGCCAACCTCTTTCCCCGTTTAAAAGTGACAGCTGCTTTTCACCTTTTTTCCCCCCCATATGGGAACCTGCTCTCACTTTTTGTCAGATATTTCTAGTTTTTAAGAGGAGCCGAAAGTTGAGATTCGTGTGAAATCCCACTATTTTTCATGTTGGTAACTAACTCATATGGACATTTTCAGGACATTCGTTTGGTCAAACAATGTGGTAGAAGCTGCCAGTTTGGTATCTCTGACCTAAAAAATTTAAGAAATCCAGAGATTGAGTAGGAGATTTAGCATATGTGGGGAAGTAGAAGTGATAGAGAAGAGAAGGCAGTGGTCAGGAAGGACGATTTTAGAATGGAGAAATTTCAAGCTCGGTGGCTTGATTTCTTTCCTGAGCTACCAGCTGGACATCTTCACAGGAATATTCTGTAATATTTCCTCAAAAAGAAGCAACTAAAAGTTAATGCCTCATTACTTTCAAGCCCATTCTTCTTCAGTGTTAGCCTATTTTTCTCATAGTAGTACTTTTCTTGATTACATTGGCCTAAAACAAATAGCTACATCTTATTATTATTAATATTTTTGTTTAATGGTTATAGCATTTCAGTTTTATAAGATGAAAAGTTACGAAGATGGATGGCAGTGATAGTTATACCATGTTATGAATGTATTTAATACCACTAAACTGTATTCTTAGAAATGGTTAATTGGTAAATTTTGTTATGTGTATTTTACCATAATAAAACATTTATTTAAAAAATAAGTATTTGGTTAAAAAAAACAAATGATTACTTAAAAATTTTCTACTTTTTTATTTCATTTCCAGTATATTATTGGGCCCATTTGATTTTGTTTCTGACAAATTGAATTATCTAGGGATCAGTTGTTTGCTCTCTTTCTTAGTTCAGGTTTGATTACTATAGCTCCTAATATTTCCACAGTACTTCCGTCTTCACTAACCTTGATCCATTCTTCATATTGTTGTAGAGTCACTTTTCTAAAAAGGAGTTCTTGGTCTGAATACCAATAATGGAACTCTTATGATGCCACCTCTGTAAGCAGCATATTTTTCATGGATTATTTTATTTAATCCATGCATCAACTCTATGAGGAAGGAACTGTTAATCACTTTTTATGCATGAGGAAACAGAATTTTCAGGGCCCCGGGTTAAGAAATGGTGGAACCTGGGATTCAAAACCCAAAACTATTAGACCGTGGAGTCCTCATGTCACCCCCTTGCTCTAATTGTCAGGACCCCCTACGTTGTTTCAGGCAGTGGAAACAGGCTAAGTGAGTAGCATAGGGTCCTCAATGTATGATGTGTGTTGGCATAACATGTAATAGCCAGTCACCAGGTTTGTCTGGAGCAGTGGTCAGGGACTTTTTCTGCTTATTGGAGTCACCTAAAGAGCTTTTAAAATATGATGCCTAATCTGATCCTCCCAGACCAGCTGAAACAGAATCTCTGGGAATGGGGTCCACGTGGGTACTTTTAAATGCTTCCTAGATGGTTCTACTTTACAGCCAGGATTGAGAACCATTGATTCCAGAATATGGAGTGTATGTTGTCGGAGGTCAGGGAGGGGAAATAATGTTGGAAAAGTAGGCTTATTTGACATTTGTCTGCTGGAGGTTTCTGAAGCCATATTTTGTGTCCTGCCAATCATTAAGCATATAAAAAACACAAAGACAGCTGTGTTCAAGTACAGTGTATCAACCAAATTGGAAAGGAGAACAAAATGCATCTGATAACATGCTATTAAATACTTTGGTGTTGAACCCAGGCTTGGCACCCTTGGTCCTTGGGATGGATAACAGGAAGGTGGTAGGACCATAGGTTTGGGTCTAGGTGCTACATTGTTATCTCAGTTATGTCAGTGTTTACAATATGAAACATACATTTAATTGTAACTAACTTTCCTTTTATTTTTTCTTTATTGCATGTAGGGCTTTATATCCCCCCCCCCAATGTGTATAGATTGGTTACTTAAGAATATCTTTTTAGAATAATATTGTGAATATAAAAATATTTCTTATGAAAGGAGATATTAAATCTGATAGTAATGATAGCCACTGGTTTGAAATAAAAGATTCAGTAGAAAGTAGTATTAATAACAATTTTTGTAATAATTGTTTTTGAAATAATTCAATAGGATGTCTCTTAAAAATTTCCCTATGGTATAGGGAATTTCATTTGACAGTATGTCTGGATAGCTTGACCATTTTTACTTTGGGACATATTAAATCTATATGGAAGCTATTCTTTTTTTTTTTTTTTTTTAATCTTTTTATTGATTTTTTTTTTTTTTTTTTTTTTTTTTTTCCTGAGAGAAACATCAATGTGAACATCACTTGGTTGCCTCCTCTACCCACTCTGACCAGGGATCTACCAGGGAACAGTCCGCAACCTTGTCTGTGCCCTGACTGGAAATCAAACCAGCAGCCTTTTGGTGCATGGGACAATGATCAACCAACTGAGCCACCCACACAAGGGCGATATGGGAGCTATTCTTATTAATAAGTGCTTCCTACGCACATTCCTTACATTCTCATTTATTCATCACAACAATCTTAGCAAGATAGTTGATATTATTGATATTATTTCACTAAGAGAATATAGTAATGGCTTTGGTGGTTTAAGCAAAACACAGGTTGTCCAACTCTGACTTCCAAAGCCCATCCTTTAAAACAATCACATGAAAGTCTAGCCAAAGCCATTTTGGGCTTCAAAAAGAAAGCTTTCTGAGTCATGATATAAGAATTGGGTACAATTGTTTTGCAAGAGGTCCAGTTTTTAAGGATATCTGGGGTTTTTGTTTGCTTTTTAAGAACTATATGGTATTTGGTTATCAGATTTGTTAACAAGGTTGGTAAAGCTATCTAAATCTAAGTGTTAATTTCTTTCAGATTTATAATAGAATTTTGCTAAGCACCCCAGTTGGTGATTACTTATGTGTTTTTTGGTTGTTGTGATTTTATTGTGAAAACGTGACTAAGTAAAAATTCTAGAATCTATCCTGAGAGAAATTTTTTTTAAATTGTATTTTTTAACCCTTTCTTAAGCATATGTTTTTATTGATTTTAATATTTTTTTATTGATGTTTTTACAGAGAGGAAGAGGAGGGATAGAGAGTTAGAAATATCAATGAGAGAGAATCATCTATCAGCTGCCTCTTGCACTCCCCCTACTGGGGATGTGCCTGCAACCAGGGTACATGCCCTTGACCGGAATCGAACCTGGGACCTTTCAGTCCGCACGCCGACGCTCTATCCACTGAGCCAAACTGGTTTCAGCTGTTTTTATTGATTTTAGACAGATTGGTTTTAGACAGGAAAGGAGAGAGACAGAGAAAAAAAATACTGATGTGAGCACTGATTGGAAACTTCCTTTACTATCAACCAGGGTTCTGTCAGGGAACAAACCTACAACCTGGATATGTGCCCCGCCTGGGAATTGAACGTGTGGCCCTTTGGTGTACAGGACAATGCTCCAACCAACTAGGTCATACTAGCCAGGGCTATTTTGGTAGAAAAATTTTACTCAAGAAATAAAGATACTCTAAGGATATGCTAATTGCTAGGCTTCTTGGGGAGGGGTATCCAGCATTTCCAAAGATCTGTAGCAGTGATTTTCACGAGACCAGTGCTCTAACCCCTGAGCTACGGAGCCTGTAGCAGTGATTTTCAAATTGGAATACTGTCAGAGGCACACTGTTGTGCCACAAGAATTTTTAAAACATGAAATACCTGGCTATTTAAAAGAGTCAGGGGCACTGAGATCTTTTCCCTTAGATTGTCAAATAAAAATATGATAGCAACCAATACAATATAACTGTTCAGTGTGAATGAATCAAAATTATACCTTATTTTCTTTTTGTCATATTGGCAAAAAATATTTATTTTTTGGTGTGCCATGGAAGTTAGAAGTTAGTTTATATGGGCCATGAGATAAAAGGTTGAAAATCGCTGATTTATATAGCATTAAGACTAATACGACTTCATTTAATTTTTTTGTTTCTCTTACTGAAATAAAATGGGCTTGATATGTATCATTGCTATAAATTATGTTAATTTTTTTAAATCAAGCACACTGTAGATCATGAAAATAATCATTTAAGAAATATGCCAAGATTTTTGGATGTAATCTTTTGTATACTTAGAGGAACATCTTGTTCTCTGTTAAATGCTTCGGCATTATAAGTCTTACAAAACAATGTTTTAGTGACTTTGTGGCACTCCAAGAGTAGTGATAGCTAACTAATGGGTTGATTATTCTAGATTTAAAATGATTACTGTGACCTCATTGTGCCTATGTAATCTTCTCTCTCTCTTTTTTTTTCTTTTCTGAATTCAGTACATTTAAAGTTGAAGTTTGCCGCTAAAGATGGCAGACCCAGATGTCCTCACCGAGGTTCCTGCATCATTGAAGAGGTTAGCCAAATATGTGATCCGGGGTTTCTATGGCATTGAGCATGCTTTGGCCTTGGACATCTTGATCCGGAACCCTTGTGTGAAAGAGGAGGATATGTTGGAGCTGCTCAAGTTTGATCGGAAGCAACTTCGTTCAGTTTTGAATAATTTAAAGGGAGACAAGTTCATCAAATGCAGAATGAGAGTAGAGACTGCTGCAGATGGGAAAACCACTCGCCATAACTACTACTTTATCAATTATCGTACTCTTGTTAATGTGGTTAAATATAAATTAGACCACATGAGAAGGAGGATTGAAACTGATGAGAGAGATTCCACCAACCGGGCTTCCTTCAAATGTCCTGTTTGTTCTAATACTTTTACAGATTTAGAAGCTAATCAGCTCTTTGATCCCATGACAGGTGAGACTTTTCCAGCTTATGAATCTTTAAAGTAACTTTTAAAAACAAAATATGTATTCTTTTTCTTAAATTGATTTATCTGATTTTTAAAGCAATCATATATCTATATTAATAAAAGGGTAATATGCTAATTAGACCAGACATCTTTCAGACATCCTTCCGGACAAAGCCACGGTGGCGAGGTCTGAGACAGAGGCATTTGGGTGAGCAGGCCAGCAGGGGAGGGCAGTTAGGGGCGGTCAGGCCAGCAGGCAGAGGTGGTTAGGGGCAATCAGGTAGGCAGGCAGGCAAGCAAGCGGTTAGGAGCCAGCGGTCCCAGATTGTGAGAGGGATCCTGGATTGGAGAGGGTGCAGGCCAGGCTGAGGGACCTCCCCTCCCATGCATGAATTGCATGCACCGGGCCTCTGATATGATTATAAAAGTGAGTGGATTGGTATTAATCACTATATAGTCTGTCTTAGTCTTACTGCCCTGCTTGACTCTTGTAAAGCCTTTCTCCTTTACAAAGGAGTGTACTTTTCCACCCATGGCCATCCTACCTCTATTCCCACCTCTACCTCTTATTTATAGGTACAGCACAATCTGAAAGGTTGACTTCTCTATCACTTGAAGACTATTCTGACAGTTCCACTTTTGACCTCTTCATTCAGTAAATATTTGAGCACCTATTTATGCCAGTCACTGACAGACAGTCACAGTACAGAGCATATAAATGCTATGTTAGTGGAAGTGTGAAGTGCTATCAGGAGTATATAATAGGGCTTCTAATTGGAATAGCGTCTGAAAGAGTGTAAGTAACAGCTGAGACTTAAAAGATAAGAGTCAGCAAGATGCAATAAGCAGGGCATCCTTTCCTTCAAATGGATGGATATTTAATCTCTTAGGCATTAGTCAGTGGAAGAAAACTGTCAACAGACATTTAATTTGCTTCATTTAAATATTTTAGTTAAGGATCTTTTTAATTATCCAGAATTTACAAAACACATTTTCAAAAAGTGCAGTATGTCTAGCGTTAACATGAAAAACTTTAAAGTGCTGGGTTGTATAGTTATTTTGTCTTATCATTTGTAAACAGGTAAAGAGACTGTAGTTTTGCTAATTACTCAGTGGACAGTTTGGTCTTACTTTCAAGATGTAAAAATAAATGGAAGAGTTAATGCTGTTAAGTTAGATTATCCCTTTGTTATGGCTGAATTCAGGACTATATGTGATTTTAAAAAAATTCCTACCCCTAACTGGTTTGGCTCAGTGGATAGAGCATCGGCCTGTGGGACTGAAGGGTCCCAGGTTCAATTCTGGTCAAGGGCATGTATCTTGGTTGCAGGCACATCCCCAGTAAGGGGTGTGCAGGAGGCAACTATTCTAGGTCTCTCTCTCATCGATGTTTCTAACTCTCTATCCCTCTCCCTTCCTCTCTGTAAAAAATCAATAAATATGTATTTAAAAAAAAAATCTTAGGTCTGCCTTTGAAAAAAACTATCAAAAATGTAATTTAAACTTTTACATGTGGAATTTTTATTGTAAAAAAAATTACAGATTTGTCTGGCTGGCTTGGCCCAGTGGTTGAGCATCAACCCAAGAACCAGGATATCATGGTTCCATTCCCGGTCAGGGCACATGCCTGGGTTCTGGGCTCGATGCCCACCCAGTAAGGGGACAAGCAGGAGGCAGCCAATCAATGATTCTCTCTCATCATTGATGTTTCTATCTCTACCTCTCCTTTCTGAAATCAATAAAAATATATTTTTAAAAAATTACAGATTTTTGTGCATGTTTAATTTTCTATTTTTTGTACATGTTACATATTGTACACTTAATTTTTTTAAATGAGAAATAATCCAATATCAGTTAAGATTTTAACAAAAAGAGCTAGCTTAGGACTTTATCCCCCCTTATATGAAGCAGTCATTTTGGATGGAAAGTCATTTAAAGAATTCCCATTTGTGTTAAATGTTTTTTTTGACTGAATCTTTTTACCTTGAACCGGCTTCACTAGGAGGCTCTTAGTTATAAGAAAATCTAACCATCCTGAGTTTTAAGGATTGTTTGAGTGTGCTATAGAGGAAGTTGAATATATCTGGAGCGCTTTCAAAATAAATTAGGGAAATCTTGTGTTTTTTGCTATTCACGCTAACAGATTTTATTTATTTATTTATTTATTTATTTATTTATTTATTTATTTATTATCCTCACCCAAGGATATGTTTTTATTGATTTTTTTTTTTTTTTTTTTTTTTTTTGCAGAGGGTGGGGTAGGAGGAGGAGAGAGAGAAACAGAGAAACATTAATGTGAGGGAAAAACATATATGCAGGAATCAAACTCACAACCTTTGGTGTATAGGACAATGCTCCAACCAACTGAGCCAACAGGCTAGGCAGGCCAATTCTACCCGATTTCTTAAAGGAACTCTGGGTTTTGGTTTTGTGATTCCATGCAGATGTTGATGTTACAGTTAGTGGTCATCTTCATCACCCTTGACTTTGGCAGAAGGTGTTATTCAGTCCCTCAAAGATGGTAATCTAATGTGGTTCTACTATATTTATTCATCATTTATTTTTATTAAGCTTTCTAAAGGAAATTACTCCAGTATTTATATTAGTATTTAGGAGATTGATCTGTGATGCTCTTTGAATTTCACTAACGTTGGTGTCTGAATGAAGGTAATTGTAATCAAACCGGTTAGGCCCTTGGTCAGCAAACTGCGGCTCGGGAGCCACATACAGCTCTTTGGCTTCTTGAGCGTGGCTCTTCCACAAAATAACATGGCCTGGGCCAGTCTATTTTGAAGAAGTGGCATTAGAAGAAGTTTAAGTTTAAAAAATCTGGCTCTCAAAAGAAATTTCAATCATTGTACTGTTGATATTTGGCTCTGTTAACTAATGAGTTCGCTGACTCTGGGCTAGACTGAACAAAGACTTTTTAATATGAAGGCTATGGTCAGCATGAAGGTGGAAAGAAGGGGTTCAAGGAAAGTAAGAATAAATCATTTTATCTTGGTATCCGTTGGGGGATGGTGCCCTGGGAACGTACTCGCCTTTTGGCTTTTCATTTGGACCTTCCTTTAAGGAGAGAATGTGCTGACTAGGTGATATAAGGACCCAGTCTGCTTGTCAGTTTTGTCTTGTTTTTCACTGTTAACTTGATACCCTTCTATGTTCTATACATTCCCTTTAGAAACATTCGTCTTTTTTCCCCTTCCTAATTTGCTCAGAATTCATTCCCTTCACACTCATTTTGAAGAAGATGGGAAATAAACATTTGGGTATATGTATCAGAGTAGGAACAGTGGGAGTGAGGCTTTTTCTGCTGTAATGTTGTAATATTTATGTTCTGTTTAAGTTGATAGATTACAGTTTTCATTCTAAGCCCAGTTTTGTACAAAGCTATTCTATTTCTTGGTTGCCGTTGGAGACTGAGGATGTTTCTGACCAAATGATGGGATTTCTGATGAGCTATCTTCATTCCCATCTCAACAGTTATTAGGTTGCACTGTTATATTATCAAATAGGGGGTATTCAGGAATTAGATTTGAAGCCTTCTAGACACTTGAATGCTTCCCTGATTTAAAGTTTTGAACTCAATTGTACTCAATTTGAACTCAATTTAGTGAGCTCTCTGTGACTCACTAAAGGGTGGTGACTCCTAAATGAGCACCTGGGAATTCTGAGTCCAACAAGAATTATTTTATTAAGGCTAATTCACACATAAGCCAGAGATCTTCCTACTTCAATTTACAGCTTTTGCCTACCTCATCTCTCTTTTCTCTAAGTATTGTAGGTTCTCTTCATCTTTTCCATTTTGGTATTCTTGGGTTGAACTCTCTCCAAATGTTTGATGGTTGTATGTGTGAGGTAATAGAAAATATATATTGGTCTCTGCCCAGTTCCTTGGACAGATGTCCTAAAACCCTTGGAATTTCTTAAGTGATAAGAACACTAGGAGCATCTTTTGTGCTGTTTGGTCTTTAACACTCTCCCGCTTCCTGCCCCGACCCCTCCTTGACACATACACACCCTTGGTCCCGATACAGGGCACCTGAAAAGAAATCTGTAATTTCATGGGTGATAAGAATGCCTTTTGTTTTAATGAGGCAACTCTGGTGGGCTCCTAGATGAGAAGCTTGGAATTTTCAGCCCCATTCCCCCTTCTCTTGAGAGAGGAGAAGGGCTGAAAATAGAGTTAATAATTCATTATGCCTCCTCAATGAAGCCTCCATAAAATTCCCCAAGTATGAGGTCGGGAGAGCTGGTGGACACATGGAGGTGCTGGGAATGTGGCATGCCTTGTCAGGGCATGGATGCTCCAAGCCCCATCCCACATACCTTGCCCTACACAGCTCTTCCATCTAGATATTCATCTGTGTGCTTTATTATATTCTTTAATAAACTGGTAAACATGGGTGTTTCACTGCATTCTGGAACTGTTTTAGCAACTTATTTGAACCCAAGGAGTGGGAGAAGGGAGGGGTCATTGGAACCTCTGGCCTATGGCCAGTTAGTCAGAAGCAACAGGTTTCTAAAGTGGAGGCAGTGGGAGCAGACTTGTGGGACTGAGCCCTGAACCTGTAGAATCTGATGCTGTCTCTAGGTAGACGGTGTCAGAATTGAGTTGATTGGTAAGACACACAGCTGGTATTATAGAGAATTGCATGGTGTGGGGTAAAACCTTCACACACTGGTGACCAGAAGTATCAGAAGTGAAATGTTATATGGGAGTAGCAAAGAAAACACATAGGGAAGAAACACCAATAGAGAAGAACTGGGACTTGAGGTTTTTCCATTATAATATGTACAGAAAATGGAATTGCCTCACCTTTGCTCACTAGTCCTTGATTTCAGAAACTTAATGAGACAAAATAGCGGTTTTACTTCCAATATTTATTTGAAATACTGGAGATTTATATAATCAAAACAAAGAGCATGACACGAAATTCTTCAAATCAGCAAAGTAAAATCTTGTGGTTCATAAATGCATATTTTTAGATCTAGAGGCTTTCTC